TTATTCTCATTTTATAAGTGCATTTGGCAGACTGGAATTAAACGATCGTATACACAATTCCAGACACAAAAATTGGTTAATGACAATTACCGCGCCATGACTGCCTACGATCCCGAAAGTCACGACCCTGAAAACCGGGAAGAAAAGATAAACGAGTTTGGAAAAAAGCAAGAACATACCGTATTTTGACGCCGGTTAAAATTTTGGGACGTCTCCCGTTCAAACTGTGATCTATCCATCCAGTTTACAATTACCGGTGGCATGGGCATTGGTTGTGAACAATGATTACGGTAGGATTCGTCTTTTGATGTAAAACGATCCGCAAACATCTCATCCAATTCTTTAAGAGTAGGAACGGAGTTGGTCATAGAGGTGATTGTCCCGAAGAGAAAACTAGCTGCACAGGGAAACGATACGGCACGTATAAATTGAAATGTCCCTTTGGAGCGAAAATACAACGGATGCAGTGCTTTATCACACATTTAAAAAAGTGTCATTAACTTAAGGAGCCGCTAATTAGAAAATGAATTAATCCAACCGCAACTTCTGAATGAAATGTAAATGCGGATTCCAGTTTTCATAGCCGAAATCGACGGATGCAATGCCACCATCTGGGCAGCTACATCTCACCCGGTGGACGCATCACGGATGAAGTGTCAGCTCGCATACAGAAGGCTCAGTTGGCATTTGCCAACTTGAGACATTTGTGGCACCGGCGCGACATCCAGCTATCTGTGAAGGATCGAGTGTATGCCACGGCAGTTCGACCAGTTCTGCTATATGGTGCAGAAACATGGTCATTACGGGAACAGGATAAAGATAGACTGTTTGTGTTTGAACACCGCTGTTTACGCAGCACTGCACGATCATGGTGGGGCAGCTAGACGAGTAATGCTGAGGTCAGGCGTAAAGTTTTAGTTAACTGCGGTCGCAGTAATCGGATACATATCTGAGGGTCCATATGAGAAATTTCAGCCCGCTGCGAAACAACTAAACTTTCAAAACCGAATTCACTACCGCCATCTTTTATAAAATCCTTGTTTTATCAATCTT